ATGTTGGTTGTGAGATTGTCTGTTGAAATATCACCGTGCTTATGCGCAACTAACCCTGATTTTACTTAATAATGGTCCCCAGAATGCCAGTGTAGTGATGTGGACATGAGAATGAGTGTGTGAGTAAACAACAGCACATTGGTATAACTTTTATTATAGTACACTATTATAATTGTCCTATTATTTTATTAGTTATTTTAGTTAATCTTCTATGCCTAATTTATAAATCAAACTTTATCATAGCTAAATACATACAGGAAACACATAGTATACATAGGGCTCTGTACTATCAATGTTTTCATGCATTCACTGGTGATCTGGGAACACACCCCCATGGTTAAAGGGGACTATTGTATTCCTTGGACATCTAATGGACGTTTCAATCTCAACAAATCCCAAACTGAACCTCCATTTTCCTTCTTACACCAAATCTGCTCTATCCACAGCCTTCCTCATCTCAGTTGATGGAAACTTCCTTCTTCGGTTGCCTCAGGACAAAACTCTTAGCGTCTTCCTTGACTCTTTTCTCTCACTTCCTGTACCTGATCTGCTAGGAAATCCTGTTGCTTCTACTAAAAAATATATCCAGAAACCAGTGACTTCTCCCCTTCTCCCTGTTTTGAACCACTATCATTTGCTGGGATCACTACAGTGGCTTCTGACTTGCTCCATAGCCTCTGTCTTTTCTTCTTCACAGTCTGTGTTAAACATAGCCATCAAATGGTTTCAAGTCATACCATGCCACTCCGCACCTTACAATGAAGTCCACAATGGGTGGTCATCAATATCAGAGGACAAGCTAAGGTCCTGATGATGATGAGACTACATTATCTGGCCCCTATGATTTTCTCTCCCACTCACTCTCTTCTGGCCACACAGACCTTTCTGCTATTCTTCAAACACATATGTGCATTCCCCCTTAGTGTCTCTGCTGTAGATGATACTATTGCTTGAACACTCTTCCCCCAGGTCCCTGGATTGGGCCACTCCTTTACCTTCTTGACTTAAATTTAATCTCAAAGAGACCTTCCCATTTACAAGTATAATTTATTCAATCTTCTCTACCACCTCCACCAATGTGGCACTTGTGATCCACAGCTAACAAAATATTTATTTATTATGTTTATTATTTATTATCTGCCCCTCTCCTAATTGAATATGAACTTCAAGGAAGCAGGAATCTTGGTATTTTTTGTTCACAGATATATGCAGGCACTTAGTGTATAAGAGAGATATAACATAGTCCATAGTCCATGCTAATAAATATTTGTAGAAAAAAGTGACAACCTAGCATTCATAGTTTGCCAACTCTCTATCCAGTGTTTTTCTCATGATACCAGGATGCTTTGTAATATCCTGAAAAGGTACATATTAATAAAGTTAGACCCCAAAGGACAGTGTCATTAGAAATTCAAAAGTTGCTAATATAAAGTTGAAGGGAACTAAATGGAACTGAAGAAGGAAAGATGGGACTACATGGAAATGAGGGAGGGAGACAGATACTAGTCATTCTTCAAAATTTATTTTCATGGCTGACTTTCACTACTTAAAATTTTTATTTTTAGTTATTTTTATTGGCTGTAATGGCAGTCCCATGGAATATGCCTCCCTACTCTTTATCCTTCTTTCATTCCTTCCTAGACATGCAGTGAGCACATAACACACACCACGCAGGCTGTGTTGAGTGCTGAGGCTCCATAACTTTTGCTCTTGAGGAGCTCAATGTGTAGTGGAAGAACCAGATAGACAATTCTAAGATAATGTGACAAATACTGAAATGGAGGTGTAAGAGGTCATTGGAACAGGGAGCAAGTCGCAACCAATAGAGTATATTTTATTTGCCAGGGAAAGAGTTTGGAAAGTCTTCTGAGATTTAAGCTAGCCTGTGAGATGAATAGGACTTTGCCATGAGGCAGAAGGAGTTGCACACAATATGTCTGGGAAATAATGAGCAGTTACTGAAGTTTATTATTAGTGACTGGAGCACGGGCTTCAGGGAGGGTAGACCACACATGTAGGTTAGGGCCCAGTTATAGGTGTCTGGTTTCAGGGGGCAAATGGAAGTGATTGGTGATTATTATACATGGTGGTAACATGGCCCATTCTGTGTTTACACAAATAAATAAATAAACAAACTGATGGAAAGGAAAGGTTGGAGGAGATATGGTAGGCTTGGCAGGGAGCTACTGAGATACCTTTGATAAGATAGCAGGGGCTCAGAACTGAAGTGGTGGACCTGGGAACACAGATGAAGGGGTTCAGAGATACTCTTGCAGTAGAATGGGCAGACATTAGTGAAGCCATTGGTGACAAATTAAATATAATGGTAAATGAGAAATTGTAGGCAATACCATCTCCTAGGTTCTTGCTTGAGTGACTGATTAATCAGATGATGAAGCTGTGAATTGAGACAGAGACCACAACAAAGGGTTGGTTTGGAGTAAAGGAGGTAATGGATTTTGTTTTCATGTCACACTGTGATGGGTAATTATCCTGACAGTGATGATCAATAGGTAGTTTGCAAAACAAACTAACAAACAACACCAAAAAACAGGTCTAGAATTCTCCACTTAGAAGTAGAAATAAGGATGGCAAGTATAGAAGACAGAGGTCTGAGCATACTGCCTGATGGTGAGTGTGGAATGAGGAAATAACATACTGGATCCTGGGACACCATCTCTTAGTGGTTGGTAGAAGGTATCTATCTCAGAGCAACTGGCCAAGGAGCCCGAGAAGAAAGAAAAGACTCAGGAGAGCTGGTGTTCTCTCCTTCTCTGATTTGTTCTTATTTATTTTAAAACTATGTGCTTCTTTCCTACTACAAAAGAGTTTAGGATTTTGGCAGAGTGATGTTCTAGAAGCTGCGAAAAGAGAGAGTGATCATTTGTCGCTTACTGCAAAGAGGTCCAGTGCTGGCAGTGACTGAGAAGATGTCCCTTTATACCAGGAAAAACACACACTGCTGAAGGCAGTGTGAGTTGCTGAAACCTTTTGAAATGTGTGGAAAGCCTATTCCTCTTCTATTCATCCTCAAGTCCTGTCTGCCCTACTTCTTTTCACCCTTTGGATAAGTCTGCCTTTCTCTTTGGACTACTGCAGCAGTTTCCTGTTTCTCCTGGCCTCCTCTCCAATCCATTCCCCCCCCTGAAACCAGAGTCTTCCTGAAATAAGAATGTAGTTACAGCATCTTTCCTCTGCCTAAAATCTTTCAATGATGAGGACTTCTCAAGGTGAC